TGAGACAGGTTAAAGCCATCTGACAATCAGGCTGGCAGAGTCAGCACCACAGCTTGGACATAGAACCTACAGGATGGCACACAGGGCTGCATTGGGCATGTGCTGGATGCCTGGCCAAAGGTCACAGCAAGGACAAGTGACTTGAAGCTGGAGCTGACCTCGGTAGAAGCCCATGAACTTGCAGGAGCTCTGGGTCCAGCAGTGTCTGTGGAGCTGGTTCACGGCAGGTGGCAGCTGCAGGTGCCCAGCTAGGACTAGGGAAGAGCCTGTCAGAGGGAGTTCGAGAGGTAAGATGGAACCAGAAGGTGCCACTTGAGGTGGACAGAGTTTTGCTGACAACGGGCCCTCCAAGCTAAGGGCACATATGGAGCTGGTCTGGGGTCTGCTCTGTTCAGCAAGGTGCTCAGAGATGGACAAACCGAATGATTCAGAGCTCAGTGCCACTGAGTATATCTTTTAAAAATATATCTTTTAAAGCAACACGAAGTGTTAACCAGAATGCTTAGGATTGTATTAAGACATACAAAACAAACAATACATTTACAATTAACCACATTTAACCTTTTCACTTCAGACTGAAGACTAAGTAAGCTGAGTGAACATGGGAAAGAATAACTTTGAAGCCACTGAAGTAAGTCAAATTGGTTGCAATTAACAAGGGTGGTGTGGGCTGTAATAATATATTTACAGCCTGGTGATTATGCTGTGGGAAGGAAGGGATTAAATCCCTGTTTAATTTAGGCTGCATTTTGGTGCTGCCTGTTCTTCAGCAGTACACAGTTAAAAATGTAGTCTGTCGAATCCTGCTGACATATTTTGGCAATAGATATATCCTCTAATTGAAAGCAATTGTTGTGTTGTAAGCTTTCCCCCTTTCCCATTTGTTTTGGTTAATGAGTAGTGGTGGCCTGTCTACTTAAGCACGTATTTAGCAACTGCTCATGGTGAAGTTAGCATATTGCAGAGTGTGCAGCAGGATCCTGCCTGACTTCATAAGGAAAAACCTCCTCCAGGCTTTGGTGGAGGATGTTTGAACAAAGCTAGTAGGATCAGCCTTGCTGGTGGTTGTTGCAGGGCTTTGCTGTGTGGGTCAGCTGGGGCCTTCATGTGTGAACTCCAGGGTAAGAGCCGGGCTCCTTTCCAAGGCAGCTTTGTTTTGAACGATCAGCATGGCCCCTGCTGGGAAAACCATGAGGGGATGCTCTGCTTTGTGTTGCATTTGCTTCCTTTGCTAGAAGCCAAGCCCCGCATCCTACACAGCTGGCAGGCGGTCAGGATGCGCCGTGCCTGGCGTGGGCAGGACGTGGCCGGCCCCCCTTGTGCCGTAATGCCCTGCAGTCCTGGGGGACAGGATGAGCCCCTGCTTGGCCAGCACAGGCAAAACGGTGCAAAAACCACTGCTGCTCACAGAAATCCCCTAATGCTGGTGCTGGCTGCACCCAGCCAAAGAAGGGCCCTATTCTGCCATGCACACGCGCACTGTGCCTGCCTGTGATGCCCATGTTGACAAGAGACAGGTATGGATGAGAGACCATCAAGGCAACCAGGGTGGAAGGGACTGTGCTTCACCTGGCTACCACCCCAACACAGGCTTAGCTTCCCACAGATCAGAGCTGGAGCTGCATTCAAGCTCACCAGCCACGTCTCCAACCCTGACCAGTGTAAAGCTGGGGCAATTGAGTGCTGAGCCCTTCCTAAGCCTCTAAGGAAAATAAAAGCAACAGGTCACCAAGAAGATCTGGGAAAAACTGGGGAACCTGCTGCTTTTGCATCCAGTGTGGGTCCAGGTAGTGAAAGAGTTCCTCTCTACCTGCAGGACCCAGGTTAAACCTAGCACAGGCTACCAAAGACACATCACTTTAATGCTTTGTGATGAACCTCCCACTCCAAAACATCCTGCCGTTATTGTGCCTGTGAACTTTTCACTAGCACTGTATCTGTCATTAACCTAGAAGGAAACCTTTTTGTGCTCACAACCTCTGTCTGCACAGTTCCCCTCTGGAGGCAAATCCCTCATGGCGAAGACGTCAGCTGGCTGCATGCTGCAGACAAGGTTATGACTGCATTACACACTCTGAGGAGAGCAAGGCTCTATATTATGCTGGGAAAGGCTCATATTTGAAAACAAAGAGGTTTGAGGAATCAAAGGGTGATTTTACTTAGCGAAGTGCCTCAGGTCCCCATAAATCGCTCTCACCCTTGCTCAAACAGGGCTGGAGGCTGATAGCAGTGGCAGAGGAGTGTGCTGTGCCCCTGTGGTTCCTGTTATAGCCATTTGCAGTGGAGCCTGGGACCACACTGGAGCATGTGTTTAGATTAAAGGACGTTGGGGAAGCGACCTTGCCTTAGTCTTTCTGCTAAGCACCTAGCAGACTCCCAGGGTGCTAAATCATTAGTAATAACAGTAACAGCAGTCTGGCCTCCTTATCCATGAGCAGTGCCTGCAATACAGATTAATAACAACAAAATAGGGACTTGCTCATCCAAAAATACACTGAAGTTTGCTAATCGGTCTATTTCCAAGCCCTCTGTTATTTCTGAGTGCCCTGAAGTCCCCAGGCGAGCACTTGCTGATGTGTCCAGCCTGATGACACTAGACACTAACAACTGGTTGGATAAGAGCAGAGTGATAGGCAGGGCTGGAGAGAATTTGATGAGTGTGGTGATCAGGGAACAGCTCTTGTTTAAGCAATGATTTCTCTATGTCCAAGTGCTTCTCATCTCCTCCTCATCTCCCCTTCTGTTTCTCTGGTGAACGGCTCTTCTCTGTTCAGAAACAATGCTCCAGAGACAGCCCTGTCCTGACCATCTCTGGGCTGGGACAGTGGAGATCAAGTGGGACCACTCCACTCTCTCCTGTTACCCTTCTCTCGGATAACCACTTTTGGCCTCTGTCAGGATGGGCAGAAGGTAGGGGCTGGACTCCTACTCTGATGCAGCACAGCTATTCAATCGCCATTTTTCATCAGTATGGGTTTCTGAGAGGGAAAGTGAGTGGCCAAAGGGATTCAAAACACATTGTTTGTAAGCTTGCAGTCTCCTGCCAACCTGCAATCATATAGAAATGACCCAAATTGCACACTGAGAGGCAAATATGAAGGAGATGGGAAAAAAGGGGACTGGCTGCCTGGGTAAGAACAGACACACCTTCTGACCGGCTGCACAGCCAGGGCTCTCCAGCAGCAGCTCTGGGGTGGTTGTTCCTCTGCCATGGTGCCCTGTGGCCCCTCTGCAGTGACTGGACGCCCCGGGCCTTTCCTCTGCAAGGCCCTGTGGGCAGAGGGAAGGGCAGCTGCTCCATGCACCAGCATGTGCCACCCAGACAGGCCTTCCCAATGCACTCAGTGTCACACCCAAAGACACAAAGTGCGTTGCTCTTCTCCCAGGTCCCCGGGGGTTCCTGCTGCCAGGCCTTGAGGCAGCAGTGGGTCCCATACTGAGCAGCACCTGTCCTCTGCCCCATCGTGAACTGCTGGTGCTGGCCAAGAGCTGCCAAGAAAATCCTGGCCATCTCCGGCTGCAAGAGTGGACTTGCTTTCCAAATCCATGAGCTCTATGGGTACCTTGCAGATAAACCTTGCTAAATAAACAGATGTTTATACTCCTTGTAATAAAGTGATGAAATCTTAGTTTTTTGACAGTGTTGAGTCAATCTAACCTGAGTAATTGCACGAGAACTCATGTTTCCCCTAAAGGGAAACTGTTCTTGTGTAAATATATTTATTAATAATTAAAGCAGTTTTGAATTCCTGTGTATGCAGCCCCTCTCCCCACCAGAGCTGTCTGAGAGCCTGGTATCCTCCAGCCTGCACAGGAGTCAAACGGGAAGGGATTTTGGCAGGGGGTGATGCTCTATGCCAAGAGGATTGTGGTTTAATTTTGACCTTTTTTTCTTTCTGAACAAAAAATAATGGTCAGATCTGTGTATGAGAGATTTTAAAACCTCTACTACTCCATTAGGAGCATTACCCTGAAATACTCAATGGAGCTTCTAACAGCTCAGATAATAGGGGTGGGAAATCATTTCTGGAAAATATTCCCCTCAAAGCATCTTACCAGAGAATTGTTTCCTAACAACAACAATAAAATCTTTGTCAAATAATCCTTCAGTACCACAAATATTTTGTCTTTAATTGTATTAGTGTAGATAAATTCTCAGCATAGGCAATGGGAGCCAGAGCTCTGGGGGATTTTTTCTGACAGAGCCAGTACTGGATATCTTTGGGCAAGTCTCACATTTTTCTATGTTCTTTGGCCTATTTTTTTTTTAATTCACTGTAATCTGGAACCTAATTTGATATGCCTTAAAAGACTGATTTCACACGGAAGATGCTCTGCTATCAGGGTAAGCAGCCATAAGAAATCCTAAAATAGGCAGATTAAGGGTTTGGGATCATGGGGGCTTATTTCTATGCAATTAAAGACACGATCACATTTAGAAATTGCTAACTTGTAGTTTAAGGAAAAAAAAAAAGCTACTAACAACTGGGAGTCCCATATTAAAAATCAGCTAATAACTATTAATTAAGGATATGATTAGCAGAGACAATGAGTTAGATAGCATGAAAGCATAGTATTTAATTCAATGCAGATTTTCAGTGGACATGGCATGGCCAAGGCAGCTGTGTATTAATTAGCGCTCTGAAGAGGGCGAGGAGAACAGGAAAGGGAGAGGGAAATTGGCAGGTGTAGAAATGAGATTAGACAACAACAGAGGATTTTTCTCTCCAGAACAGAAGTCGTGCAGAATCCCCATCAGCCTCACTAACATGTTTTGTATAACGGAAAGATCCATGCCACAAGAACAGGCAGGGCCGTAAGGCACAGTTTGGGGAGAGGGAGGACAGCTCTCGGGGCTCGCCTGTACAGCACTTCCAGGCAGTCGTGACCAAACAGCAGCCTCCATTTCCCACTCTTGTTTTAAATGCTGCTGGCTATTTGTTTGTGGTGAAGTGTCTCCACGCTCAACCCTCACCTTTACACTGGCGTAACTGTTGCAGCTGCACGGGGAGACCGAGCTTACGAGCTTCCCCGTGACTTTCCTCCAGTGCCTGGATGCTCTGCTCTTAGTGGAAACTCAGTCTGGAGACAACGATGCTGTGCCCACATCCCACAGCCGCTCCTCTTGGCTGTCGGCTCTACGTTGCTTCACCATGAAGCGTCCACACAGCGCTGAGCGTGCCATGCACTGTGGCACACCCGTGACCCCTCCTGCACGGGGAACTTGGTGGGCTGCCCAGGGAGCCCGGTCCCTCCTGGGTGACCTCTGAGCCCACGGCTCTGCCCTGTGTCGCGATCCCGTGGTAGGAGGCCAGCGCTGGGCTGGGCAATCGCTCAGGGCTCTTTTATGTATCCTGCAGGGACGTGAACTACGTGGGCAAACAAAGCGTCCGCTGCAGGTCGCGGGGCCCGGTCAGCCCCCAGCCCGGGTCGGACCCCGGCTCTCCGTACAGCCTCACCCAGGTCTCGGGCGCGTTCTCTCACGACGAGTGGTCAGTTCACACCCCTGCAGACGGGGAAGAAAGCGGCAAGTGTGAAGCGGCACCTCCACCCGCGCATGTGGAGCGATCCCACGGGATGGGGCGGTGGTTCAGGGGCTGTTGCCCACAGCATCGGAAAACATCGCTTCTTTCTCTGGGTCTTCCTTGCCTCCACAGTTAAAGCGGCGCCCGTTGGAGGGCAGAGGAGACGCGCAAGCCGTTCGGAGCTCCACTTCTGACGAGTCGTGCGGGCAGAGCCGCTCCGGGGGTGGGACCGCGCCTCGCTCCCCGCCCGGTGCCCGGGGGAGCGGGAGAGCAGGGGCTGTGGGTGGGGGGCAGTGGGCTGTGAGGGGGCTGTGGAAGGCTGTCTGTTCCGGCTCGCCGTGCTGTTCCGCAGCTAGGAAAAGTGCTTCTTCCCCCGCCCCTTCCCCCCTGGCCCGTCCTGCTCGAAAACGCGAAGGCGGCAGCGGAGAGGACGGGGACAGCTGGAAGAAGCCCCTCTTGCGGCGGGGAGCCGCCCTGTCCAGAGTCTCCCGGTGCCACCCGGTCAGCGGTGCGGGGGGCATCGGTAACTTCATCGCATGCACGTGATGGGCCCGCACCGGCGACGCCGTGAGTACCGGCGGGAGGGCGGAGCGGGGGCGGCGGAGGGCAGGGGCAGGGAGGGGCGCGGCGCGCGCCCCACCGCCCCCGCCGCCCCCCGCCGCGGCCGCCACTTCCCGCGGGCGTCGCTCGGCGGCGGGCGCTGCCTCCGCAGGAAGCGGCCCCGCGCCCGCCCCTCCCGCGCCCGGCGACGGGCTCATGCACTGTGCGGCGCGGCGGCGGGATGGCTCCGGTCCGGGCGGCGGGCGCTGAGCTGCGGCCCCCCGCGCTGCTGCCGCTGCCGCTGCTGCTGTTGCCGCTGCTGCTGCCCGACCGCGCCGGCGGCCTGGAGGTGCAGCGCAAGTTCCTCTCTCCCACTCCCACCAACAACTTCGCGCTGGACGGCCCAGGCTCTCGCGTCTACCTGGCGGCCGTCAACCGGCTCTTCCAGCTGTCGGGGGGCGAGCTGGCGCTGGAGGCGGAGGCGGCTGTGGGGCCGGTGCTGGACAGCCCGCTATGCCACGCGCCGCAGCTGCCACAGGCCTCCTGCGAGCACCCCAGGGTGCTCACCAACAACTACAACAAGATCCTGCAGCCGGACCCCGAGCAGGGCGTCCTCGTCGTCTGCGGCTCCATCTACCAGGGCCTCTGCCAGCTGCGCAGCATGGCCAACATCTCGGCGGTGGCCGTGCGCTTCCCGCCGGGCGGCAGCGACTCTGTCACCGTCTTTCCCAGTATGCTGAACGTGGCGGCCAACCACCCCAACGCCTCTACCGTGGGGCTTGTGCTGCGCCGTGGCGGCGGCGGCGGGGCGCGGCTGCTGGTGGCCGCCACCTACACCGGCTTCGGCAGCCCCTTCTTTCCCCGCAACCGCAGCCTGGAGGACCACCGCTTCGAGAACACGCCCGAGATCGCCATCCGAGCCCTCAACGCCCGCGGCGACCTGGCCAAGCTCTTCACTTTCGACATCAACCCCTCCGACGACAACATCCTCAAGATCAAGCAGGGCGACAAGGCGCGGCACAAGCTCAGCTTCGTCCGCGCCTTCCTGCAGCGCGGAGCCGCGCCGCGCGCCCGCCGCCCCTACGCCTACCTGGCGCTCAACAGCGAGGCGAACGCGGGCGACAAGGAGAGCCCGGCGCACAGCCTGCTGGCCCGCATCTGCCTGGGCGAGCCGGCCGAGGCCACCCTCAACGGCAGCGGCGAGACCAAGAAGCTGACCGAGTCCTACATCCAGCTGGGGCTGCGCTGCGGCGGCGCCGCCGACGCCTTCACCCGTCTCGTCTCGGTCTTCCCGGCGCGGGCGGCTTGGCGCAGTCCCGCCGCGCCCCCCGACCCCGGCCCGGCTCCGGCCCCGCCACCCCCCGAGGAGCTGCTCTTCGGCGTCTTCGAGCGGGCCGGGGCCGGTGGCGCCGGGGGGCGGCCGCAGTCCGCGCTCTGCGTCTTCCGCTTCGCCGAGATCGAGGAGACGATCCGGGCCGCCCGCAACTCCTGCTTCGTCAGCCCCGCTGCCGGCATGGTCACCGTGCTGGACAGCGTGGTGCAGGGCACCGGCCCGGCTTGCGAGAAGAGGAACATACAGGTACGGCGGGTGGCGGGTACCGCCGGGGCGGCGGGGGGTGGAGGGGCGCGGGGAGCCGGTGGCCGGCGAGGGGACAGTGGCCCCGTCCCGCCGCCGCTGCTGCCGCCTCCCCCGGGCGGGAGCACGTCCCGTGGCCGGAGGCCGTCCCGGGCGGGCGGCTGAGCCCTACACCCCGCTCTCTCCGCTCCTCTCTCCGCTCGGCTCTCCCCGCCCCGCGTTCCCCGGAGACCATCCCCCCCACTTGCCCGGGGACAGCGTCTTTCCCACGCCCCGTCCCCGGTGCCCAACTCCCTGTGGGTGCCCTGCGCGACGGGGGTCAGTGGGCATCGCCGGCGCCACGTCCCGTCCCACGGCAGGCAGCCCTGCCAGGGTGTACGCTGGGTGCCTTGGCTCCCTGCGTTCGGGACAGAAATTGGCCACTGTCACAATGTGTTACGGAGTGGCCTTAAATGTTAGAGCCAGACAGAGATGTCTGTTTCCCTTTTCACTAAAAACGTGCGATGCTTTAGAAAAAAGAGACAAAAAAGGTCTGCTTTAATGCTGCATTTTTTCCTTCCTCTGGGAAGTGTGCACAACTCAGCTCCATCAAAGATCGTGAAAACATCTGTTTGATTTCAAAGGCGAGGTAGAGCATCTGGGCTTGGGCTTCCCTGTGCAATGCCAGTGGCAAAGAGAGAAAGGTTTCCCATGGTAACCGGAGTGTTTAGTGTGGCATCTTCACGCTGTGGTAAAATATGTAGTCTTAATGTACTGATTCATAGACCTACTCTAGCAAAGTTTAGCAGTTTTTCCCTGATGGCAAAGTAAAAGCTGCCTGACAACCAGGAAACCTGTTAGTTTGAGCTAATTCCACACTCTCAGTCCTGAGACCTTGGTGTGGTCATGGCTCTCAGAGGAGTCACTGGGAGTCAGGAATCCTATTTACAGGATGTGAAGGCACCCTCAGCTCTTGTTGACTGTGGCTGATGCTCAGCATCCCTGCAGATCAGCCCCTCAGGATTGAATCCCCTGGCAGGATTGAACTGTCTCTACCAGGTGGGTCAAGAGGCAGCACTGGGGCTGGGGCTGCTGGAGGTGCCCGGGGAGTGAGCCTGGTCATAAATGAAAGTCAGTGGTAGAAGTACCTGTCACCCTTGAGCTCCACCAGGGCTTCAGGACTGCTGGGGAGATACTGGTTTTTCCACCTTTCCGTAAGTAAAGAAGATAATCATGACTAATACCAGTCTGTTGAAGTTGAAAGTATCAAGTGCTGTATGCGGTAAGGTGTTTAAACAGTTAATTCCCGAGTGACTCCAGGGAGACTTGGCACAGATAAGATTTCACTCCATCTTTGTCATGGCCTGCCATGCTGTTCCACTGTAAGGCATGCTCCTGGTGGCACCCTCCTGTCTGAGCACTCCCTGGGTAGCAAGGAAGGAGACCAGGAGTCTGTTGTCAGTGATGCCCCAAAGGCTGTCTGAGAAGGACACTGTGTTCTTGAAGGGGTGTGTGACAGGGGACATGAGGGTCAGGGATGCGAGCTAGAATCAGTGAGCACTGCCATCTTGTTGGGAGTTGGTGGGAGCCCTCTGTGTTTGCCACTGTGGCGAGATCAGGCTGCAAGAAAATTTGTTCCTGTGGAGAGAGCAGTATAACTGGTGGTGATATACGGTGGATGGGGAAATGGGATTCTAGTCCCAACTGACACTGCTGGCCTTGAACCAGTTGTTTAACCCAAGGTACCTCAGTTTCGCACATACTCGTGTATTTCTTACTATTATTCAGAAACCCAACTCGTGTAGCGTCGTATTGCATTTGTAAAGCTGCTTTGAGATCCTTTGATGTCAAGTACAGCAGGATATAAATGAAGCATAACATTAATATTCGTTCATGCCTAATATTTCTACACTTCCCATTTATTTGAAGCATATTCCTCTAAAACCGCTGACTGAGCCTGCTGGGAAGCTGTCCTACCAGTCAGAAGGAGAGCCTTTTACTTAATCATTAGAATTACCAACAAGTTAACAAGCTGTTTTTGTTTTCAAGTCCCAGAGTGGCAAGCATCAAGAGAAGAGTTGTAATATTTTGTGTCTTTGTGCTGCAAAAACCTAACATCAATTTCCACCTTTAAGACAGTGAAGACTCTAATATATTTTGTGTCCCAGCTCTGTAAACGCAGAAGGAAAATGTATTAAAGCAGCAGCTGGCCTGGTGGAGCAAATCAGAATCTGCCTTTCCATTGTGAGCTCCACTTCTCCTCCTGTTACTGGGTTTCCAGTTTTCCTTTTGCCTGTGCATCACTGATAGGTGCTCCAGTGTTAGCAAGTGTGGCTCATTAGTTCTTCCTGAGGACCAGGCAGTTGGGTTTTAAGCTCCTTTTGGAAGAAAAAAACCCATAATGTTGGCCTGATTCATTCTGAGCGCGTGCTCAGCTGAAGTAGTTGGTTGTTACAAATCCGGAGCACGGGCTGTTAGGCGTAATGTGGTGTGAAAGGAAAATCATTGCCCCCTTGTGTGCTCTCCAGTCTAATTGAATGCTTCTCTCCTGTAGCACTTGCTGTGACTCAGCCAGGGAGCTCCAGCACTCGCCTGCCACTGAGGGTTTTTGGGAGTGGGCAGTTAACATGCCAGCCGTCCCTGTCCATCCCCACAGCACTGCTGCTCAGTGCCAGCCGATGTGGGGCCTGGCTCCTTATCCTTCAGTACCGTGCTGAGTGGTCTGAGGGAGACTGGCACTGAACGAGGGACTTTGTCCCTGTGAATGTTGATGTGGTGCCAACTGCTTGTTTGGCTCCTACTGTGACCATGTGCTGGCCACACAGGGGCTGTGGAGGGCAGATGGGGCAGGTGGACCTGGGGACAGCACATCTCTGCTGGCTGGCTGGTCAGCTTGTGTTCCCCAGGTTGGGAAAGGGGAGCCACCAGCTCGGCCTGGGAATGGTCCCCTTGCTTTGATAGAAGCACTAACTTGCAATTAAGCTTAACAGTTTTGTGAAACAGAGAGAAAATGTGCAGAGGAGGATGGCCTGGGTCAGGAGTGGGGGGCGTTGGTTCTTCTCAATGAGCATTGCTGAGAAGTCACATAGGGAGGAGATGATTTCACAACGCAGCTCAAGGGAAGGAGGATGTGTGAGGGAAGGATTTAGATTGGTTGGGTTCTTGCACCACGAGTGAGTGGGTGAGCTCTAGGATTGCTTCCCCTCAACAGAAATAGCTTTTTATAATGAATTTTGTGTCAAATGCTAGTCTTTGTAACACATGCCGCTAAAATGGAATACTTGCATGGAATCGCTGCGGCATGTTGCCCACTCAAAGCCCATGTGGAATTTGGACTCAAACCCCCATAAGGGGAGTATGAGCTCTCTGGAGCAGACTGCCTGTAACAGTGTTTGCAGCAACGTGCTGACAGAGCTTATCAAATTCCGAGGACACTGTGTGGGTTTACTTCATATTTGAGCTATTCTGCCCCAGCAGGATCAAGGCCCAGTGGGTTTGAAGGTCATGCTGGCTGCGTGGCTGGAGTGCGGCACAGCTGTGGGATGCTGGAGCAGTTGTGAAAGCAAAGTAGGCGAGAGCCCATCCCCCAGCTTCCCACTGGCCTGGGACCAGTGACCATGTGGGGTGTCCCAGCACTGTCCCCCTTGGAGCCACCAAAATCAAAGGTCTGCCTGGCTGTTCCTTTGGCCACGCTGCATCACTGCCATGTCCCAGCAGAGCGAAGCCCTGACAGTGTCCTCTCACCACTGCTCTGTCTCTCCATGGGTGTTTTGGCAGGGGACATAGCTGAGCACCTTTGTGCCGCTCCAGCCAGCAGCTGCCTTTTTGGGCAGGGAGATGAGGACGGCTGCTGGCAGCCCCAGCCCCGCTCTCCCAGCCATAGCTGTGGCAGAAAGGCAATGACTGTGGATTTCCAGGCATATCTACAGACCTTCCCGCTCTGTGTCTGAGCAGTGGCTGACAGGGGGGTCTGAGCTGAACACAAAATAAAATGCACTATTTGATGAGGAAACTCACTTGAGGAAAAGCTGAACCGGAAAGCCCATCTCACACTTGGGGCTGTGCCGGACTCAATGTCTTCTGTGGTTTCTGCACGAGCCCCATACTCTCCTAAAACCTCCCAGAGAGGTACCTTGGGAAAGCAGGCTTGTATTCGTTAGGGTTAGATTTGCTGGCCAGGGACCCGCATCTCTCCTGGGAAGTGTTTTGGGGTCTCCAACTCAAAAAAGGCTGAAAATCCAGTTTATTTCCTCTGCTGAAAACCAAAGGCACAGCGGCATGGGATAATGATGCGTTTCAGCATTAATTCTCAAGTTTCTGGCTCTTGTGGCCTTGTGTCAGATCCTGCATGGTCACTGAACACAGCGTTTGGGGGTGTAATGATGAGATACCCACCAGTGAGCTGTACTGTAACGGGTTGTTATATAAAATGAACTCCTTGGGTAGACTGTATAAACAATCTCCGTATATATGTGTGCCTGGGCATGGAAATGTGGTTTGAAACCAGTCAGAAAATGTTCCCAAAGAAAAAAACCCTCATATACACGTGGGAATATGACAAAGCATCTACTTACTGTCCAAATATACTGTGGCATCTCCGTGGGACTGGGTTTTATAGGAACTGAGTTACTTTGAAGTGCTGGTTTATACTAATTTAGAAATTCCAAACATGAAACTAACTGTGCTCTAACCTTACATCTACTCAAATGCAGAGGATTAGCTACAGAAAGGAAAGTGGGAATTTACACTTAATTTCTTCATTAAAAATGAGGCAGGAGTTCTTGTAGCAGGCCTAATTTCTGTGTTTTGCAGCACAGGCTGTGTTTGCAGTTGCTGGCACCACCCCATGGTGCCCCTGCCCCAGTACTGCAGAGCTGCACCGTGCTCCTTGTCACTATCATCAGTTTTGCTTTGGGATGTTGCTTTCCAGATAGTGGAAGATCTGTGTCACTCCAGCCTCCCCACAGGGGCTGGGGGCGAGGGGCTGGGCTGCCAGCAGAGGGACCAGTGGGACCTGGGATGTC